AATGTAGTATCATTCATAAAGTTTGTTTTAATTTCTTCTTGCCATTTTCTCACATGACCACTGCAAAATATTTATAGAATGCTTTACATTAGAACACCGAATGAAACGACATGATTGTCTTGTCTCATGAGATTTTCAGCTTTTTTTCTCATGAAAAAGTCCAAGGTTTTTCCGTTAAAATACGACTTCAACAAGGTACTTTAGAGAAGCTTTGTATAATAGAATTTATTATACCCTCATTGTCGGTCTTATCTTTCAACATAAATAGGCTCGTTGCTAAATTTTGTGATGTTATTTTTCATGAAACAAATTTAAATCTTTTTTCAAAAGTTTTCACAATAAGACTTCAAATATCTTTTCGAAATTCTGTGTGCTCTATATTAACGTCTATTTTTTAACACACTCCTCCATAAATATTGATTATATAGATAAAAAGATATGATTATAAAGAATCTATAGTTGAAATCAGTTTTCAACACATTTTTTGAATAAGTTTTGGTTCAAAGAAAAGTAATTGGTAGAGAGCAGATTCAGCTGAATTCCAAGTATAATAGATTTCAACAGAGTTCACAAAGACCTAAAGAAACTCACTAGATTGCGCCAAAGTACGCAATAATCTTTACTAATTCTTAACAATCTGGAAAACCTAGCAAAACTTATCAGAAGCTGATAATTCATAGATAAAAAGTACATGGAAGACGAAACGGCATAGATACGTTGTCTCATGGGATGGAATACAACTAACTAGTTTGGCTCATTGGATGATTTTTTTTGTCCCACTCTATCTCATTCGGAGCTCTGTTTCACTCGTATTTTTCTTACCTATTGTGAAGTCAACTACAACACTTAAGGGTAAAATTTACTTACATTATCTGTATGAAAAAAAAATTGAGTAAAGTTCTATCACTAACCAAAATATCAGCCCATTTGATTGAACCGAAGTGAAGATATTTAAATTTCTTATCATAGAGTTATTTATAGACTGTCTTGTAGAAACTACATTTCCCATCTTCTCACTCAGTTAATCGATGATAGAATAAGTTCCTGTTCATCTCGTTCTTCTAACTGGTTACTAGGAGTAGCTGTCTAATTTGAGTTCGAATATAAATGGATATTTCAAGAACCTACACCTATTATTGATCCTAGATAAAGATTTAGATTTATCCATTCGTACCTGCACCACATATATATATGTATTACAGGGGAAATTAAAGTTTTAATCTCCTCTAAGGCAAATTAAAATCAATTTTTTTTGCTGTGTATTTTGTAAGTAAAAATTGCACATTTTAATTTCTCCTAGGATGAGATAAATGTGAGAGTGATTGTGATTTTGTTCTCGTTACCCTCACCGTAGGGGAGTTTAAAATCCGCAATTGTTACTCACCAAATCCACAGGAAAAATGTGATTTTAATTTGCTACAGAGAAGATTGAAATTTCAAATTCGCCTAGATTTTATATTCCTCTATAAAATAATTATATATATACACGTATATGTCTATAGATTCGTCCCTATAAGAATAGATATAGATAGTAATAGATTTACTTTTATTCATTCTAGCAGTGGCGTAGCGAGGAATTTTCGAGTACTGAGCAATTGTCACTATCACAAAATAATCTGTAGACCATAACGTTTGGAGAATTGAGTAATTATTATCAGCTCAACGAAATCCGTGGGCAATAGCCTAATGATCCTACTATTGGCTACATCATTGATTCTTAGTTATAAATAATAACCAGATATACATACCTATGTAGAAGTAGGAAAAGATAGGAATAGATTTAAGTACTTGGGGTTTAGTTCATGTATAGATATACATAGAAATGTAAAAAGAGATTTAGATATAAATACATTTACTTTCGTTGATTCCATGCACTTTTTGGGTTTCTAGGGAACTCATTTTCCTCAAACATATTTGTAGGAAAACTATCTTATCCATGTAATGAAAATCGGAAGAAGATCGGTGGTTAACCGTAGTTTTATCGATCTAGTTACGGACTCCATTTACCATGGTTTACCGGTCATTTCTTCAGATAAAATTCATCACTTTTACTATGCATCAGACTTGAAATTATGTCAATTTTTGAAAAAACCTTTTGAATTTTGAATTTTTTTTTCTGTTTCAGCATATATCTGGTATTGCCAGTACACTAAATCCGTCGGAATCATCGACACAGCGAGAAAGTTCATCCTAGCTGAGATTTGGTTTAAAATATTTTTGCTGATTTCTCATTGGTAAGAATTTATGTATTAATTTTGCTGCTTGTTTCACAACTGAATACGCAGGAATATGATCTATGTGCTATATTTTGCTATCAAATATTTCTTATTCATTAAAAACACGAAAATAATACTCTCAGTCACGAGCATGTGTTTTTTCTTTTGCTGTATGAAATTTACCGGTTGTTTTGGTCGGTTAACCATGGTTTATCGCTAAAACTGATCCGGTTTTACGACATGGATGGGCATGATGAAGATAATCAGCATAGAGACGATGCCTTGTGTGTGTCTTAGCATCAGTAGCTACCTGGTACCGGTTCGAATAGAAATAAAGCAATGAAAAAGTTCCAATATATCATCACTTCAAATCAAAGATTTAGTTTTATCTACTAGAAAATCAGCAGTATCAAGTTTGAAAGTTGAATTTAGTTGAAAAGTTTACTTGAATTGATATATCAAGGTTCAACTCTGTCCTTATTCCTATCACGTTTTACCTCTCTCTCTCTCTCTCTCTCTCTATCCCGTCTCTCGTCAATTTTGTCTTTCTATTCCTCTCCTCGTGTTCCTCCCTCCTATCATTATCTTCCATTCAGTAGCGTGAAACTTGAAAGTTGAATTCAACTGAAATTTCTAACTTCAATTTTCGACCTGTAACTCTCATCTTATTATGTTTTCACGGAACCTTCACGCTATACGATGCCTACTGTACCGTATATGTATTACTTGAAACTTGAAGGTTGTTCAATCAAATTCAACTTTCAAGTTCTGCATTTTATGTCTACACACAAAAGTGTGCTTTTTCAAAGTAAGGAGATTTCTTATGAAACTCAGCCACCTTTTACAGATAAAATGCTACCTGAATCATTTTCCAATGATTTTTGACTTGCAATGCATATGAAGACTGAGTTCTAGTCATGGTTTTTTTGCCAATGAAACAAACATACTCTGCTTTGTGTTCTAGAACAAAAATGGGTGTTACTGACGAACAGAAGAAACTTCTTCAATCACATATATCTACTATGAAGGAACATGGCAAAGAAATAACAACAAAATTCTATGCCACATTGTTCAACGAACATCCAGAATTTCGCAATTTTTTCAATCAGACGAATCAAAAAACAGGAAAGCAGCCTATGGCATTGGCACAGACCATGATTTCTTTCGCTGAAAATCTTGACAATTTGGATGTAATGATGCCGCAGATGTCACGCATCTCAAGCAAGCATCGCGCCATTACGGTCCAACCGGAGCACTATCCCATTGTCGGCAAATATCTAATACAAGCAATCAAAGAATTTTTGGGCGACAAAGCAACACCTGACGTCATAGCTGCATGGCAAGCTCTATATGATCTTATTGCAGAAACCTTCATCAAACGGGAGAAGGAATTGTACGCTGAACTTGGCAACGATGAACGCGATAGAGGTTTTGCTCCATTCACTGTTCTCAAGAAAGAAACAATCTCAAGTGGACCGATTTATCTTTTGACCATAGAACGTCAAGATGATGGAAAACTGTGGTCTTACCATCCCGGACAATATATTACATTGCGCACTGAAAAAGGTGGCGTGCTTCATCATGGACACTATTCTCTGCTTGAACCATTCAATGGCCAGACCTATTCTGTGGCTGTTAAAAAAGGAAATGATTTTGATCAGAATAGCATTGTCTCGGACGAAATTATTCGCAACCGTGTAGTTGGCAGTACAATTTTAGTTTCACCTCCTGCTGGTAGTTTTTCACTCGCCCGTGATGCAAAGAATCATTTATTCATCAGTGGCGGTATTGGTATTGCTTCTTTCATGGCGTTGATTCAGGAGTTGAACCAACAGGGAAAAGTGGCTTCAGCAACAGTAATTCAATGTGTACGAACCGACCATCATGCTGCCTTTGCTGCCACATTACATAAGCTGGTTTCAAAAGAACAATACTTAATTTTGACGCAAGATGAACCAATATCAAAGATTCATCTTGAAGGCAAGCTGCATCCAGACACACATGTCTACGTGTCAGGCTCGGAAGCGTTTCTGACTATAGCCGAAAATGCTCTCGCGAGATTTAATCTTCCAAAATCTCAAGTTCATCTGAAATCAATCGAGCCGACGCTTCGCTTATTACAAGAGATTAATCAAAAATGAATAATTGCGTAGTGGAATAACGGCAACTGGACGATAGAACTCTATAGTGCTACCCACTTCTTTCTCCTGCTTTACTCATTAACATGACGTTTTTCCCACATCCAAATATTTTATTATTCTGTACACGTAGTTGTTGCTTTCTATTTCACTTGATTCTTAATTATCGTTCCCTATTTTAGTGTAGCACCGTTCTTTTTTCTATTTATATAACCAAAAGCAAATATGGAATAAAAATAAAGAATAATGCTCCATTTGAGTCTAAAAAATTTTTTTTTCCTTCATAGCATTAAGACTCATATTTTATTGTATGTTTCAGTTTATACTCAAAAGAACTCTATGTTCGGAAAATCGTAAAGATTGCTATTAAACGAAGTATGAAAACGGATCTAAGGAAAGGATATTCACAAACAACAACTCATGTATGCGAGAGTTTCGCCTTCACAACTCTTGATGCAAGCATTCTGAACTTTGATGCTACGTATGCTAGGGTGTGAGGTGTGGATGTGAATGATAATAGTTACACGTACACTCTCATCCACACCCTTTAGCCAGTAATTATTTCGTTGTTTTCCATACTCTAATAAAAATCTTTGATTTTATTTAACAAACTATTTTATTTGATATGAAATAGAAAAAAAAAATTTCAAGCAGCAGAAGCATTATCGTCTGATTCAACATTTGTATCATTTAAAATAGCTTTAATTTCATTAGTCGTTCCTTCAAATATTTCTTGTGTACAGAGTCTACAAAAATATTTAATTATTGAATTTAAAAAAAAATGAAGTCAACATACTCAGAAGGAAAATTTTCACTAGGTGAATCAATCTGTTTAATGTGATATTCATCAAGCATAGAATTAATACTATTATTACCAAATAGATGAGCTAGAAATAAAGAAAACTAAGTGTTTCCGTTGATACAATGAATAACTCACCTGCACCAACAACAAATAGAATTTTTCTATCAGCTTTTGATTTTAATATTTGTCGAATATTATTTACCATTTTTTCATTTCGTATTTTCATATCAGTTTCACTATCATCAAAAAATTCATTAAATGCGTCATCAAACCAATCACAATTATACCAATGAGAAATTAATTCACGTATAAATTTCTTTAAAAATGGATTCAATTTATTTATTCGAGCTGCCTTCTAAAAAGATTTTGAAAAAATAAAATTAAAAAAAAAGTTATATTATTAAATATACCTCACAAGAAGTATTTGAAAATTTTTCAAGTGATCCAACATATTTTTCTTTTCGATAAGCCTCAAGAATAATATGATGATCTAAAATTGTATCATCAGTTATTGTACGATTACGCCAAAAATAATCAAATGATATTTCTATATCATTATTAATTATCCAATGTCTCCATTCAGCAATCACTAAAATCAATTAATAATTTTTTAAAAATTTTCAAAGTATGAATTACAATGAGGATTCATTGATTTATTGATATGGTTTCGTTTTGTATCATTAAGAAATTGAGGCCATGTTTTGACACGTAATCGAGCTTGTTGTTTTGGTAGTAGTTGATCAATTATACATCGATTAACATGCACCCGAAATAAAGGATCAGTAAGATCGATTTCTACCCAATATTCATCACTATTATTGAGAATATCATTTGAAAAATAAGGCCAAATAAGATTTTGAGGTACATGAACTGTTCCAAGGAAATAAGCAGAATTTAATGAAACATTTTCTATTTTACTTTCAATATGAAATAATATTGATGATTGACATAGCTATTTGAAATTAAATTAATTTAAGAAGAATAGTTATTCAAGTTGCCTCAAAAATTGAGAAAACAATAAGAATAACGAATAACATTGCGTTGAATGAATGCAATATTGTTTCTCTTCACGATATATTTATTTATATTGAGAACAATGTTCGACTGCCGTTTACATTTTGATAGGGCCGATTGACCACCCAATTGATAATGTTGAATGACATTGATTTGACAGAATGAAAAAATGTAGAAAAAAATGTCGAAGTAATTTTTGCAGAACGAAAAAATGTCAATCATATGAAAATTTCCAAAAAAAGTTCAAGATATTCCCAATACGTAGCGTTGATCAATAGATTTATGTAAGTGTGGAGTGGGAGTAGGGTTTGGACGAAGAGAAGACACTCATTCACCAAACCCATCCACAATCCACACCCTTATTAGATGGCTTATCACTTGTGCTAGCGAAGAAAAAAAAAATTAACCTTCTGATGTAAAATACTTTGTGAAAAACTCATTTATGATTATTTCTAACAAACTTAGAATGTGCTATTGATGCAAATATGCATCTTTCTCTTGTATAGAATAAAAAGTTTGATCTCGCTGGTCGATAGTATCAAACCCAACTTTTTCGATGTTTTCATACGATCGACATTTTTTCTTCGATAGGTTTTCGTTCTGCCAAACTAATGCATACCACAATGTTCATTCAATTTAGACGGTTCGTGTTTATAAATTTCATTTTTATATGAGCAGTGTAGTCAAATATAATGGTTGGAGCTTCAACACCATTTGAGACTAAATTAAATAGCTAAAAATATAAAATATTTGCTGCTAATCAAAATCTAATAAGGTGAATCCATGGGAAAAATAGCAATTTTCGGAAAAAAATTTATTTTTGGTATTTTTTCATGCTCAATAGCTAGCATCAATTGAGAAAACGTATTTGGTCGAAAAAAATCGGGACTTGAAGGTAAAAATGTAGAAGATCCAGACTGTTCTTTCGGTATAACTCATTTTATCATCCATAAAAGGTAGGAAAGTTTTTGAAAATTATCCACGTCATCAGTTTTGTAGAGTAGCTCACGTTGATGATTTTGGTAAAAAAAACTTTTCACTTTTTATGAAAAAATAACGAAACTAGAGTCAAAATACTAACAAGTACTGAAATAGACCATCACTGGAAAAATTCCTAAAGCGCCTTAAGAATACCAGTGCTTGTTAGTATTCTGACTCTTGTTTCGTTATTTTTTCATAAAAAATGAAAAGTTTTTTTACCAAAATCATCAGCGTGAGCTGCTCCCCACAAAACTGATGACATGGATAATTTTCAAAAACTTTCCTGCCTTTTATGGATGATAAAATGAGTTGTACCGAAAGAACAGTCTGGATCTTCCACATTTTTACTTTCAAGTCCCAATTTTGGCTGTGGGTGCGGGTGTGTGCTGTGATTTTGAGTGACAAGAAGACCCACGCGCACAGCCACCAACACCCACACCCACCCGATGACTTTGTAAAGAATTCAATGAAAAGAACCTTTTCAAGTTGATATTGACTAAATAGCAATGGTTTCATTCTTTATGGTAGCCTTTTGACATGTAGAACAAAGAAGAACAAGACTTCAGTTCAGTTGAATTCTCAAAATACTTCTGATGCTACTTGCTGACCAAGAAGTTGTCCTCGTACTGCATTGCTACGTCAGTGAACACGCAAATAGATTCGACTCTCAGCATTTTCTATTTCAGCTGCTGTCAATGAAGGATAGTATCGAGTTAATGCTGGTCGACCTCGTCCAGTGTTTGAATCTTTTATTTTGCCGTTATATTCATTCGATTGAAATTGAAATAAAATAGTATCTCTACTGTAGAACAAACGTAATGACTGAAATATGGCCGTACCGAATGCTGTATCACCAGAAAGGTATGCCTGGAAGGCAGGAGTGAAATCTGCGCCGATACCGTCAGGTGGTGCTTCTAACGATGTCCATGCTTGATCAATATGATGTATACTTGGTACTCTGAAAATACCAAGAATTGGACGCCAGAAATTGTAGTAATACTTTGCATTCCATGCAGTAATTATCGAGTCAGACATCGCATAGTTGATCAATGCAAACAGCTAAGCATTCTGTTCTAATGCATTGCGTTCTTGAATGACAATGATTCGCACAATTTGATTGTACAGATATGGAGACGTACCCGGTTTAGGTACTCCATCATAAGCTCATGCAATTTCGATACAATTTTGCTCTGCAGAACATTTTACGCTTACTTTCTATTCCAATAACTCCATCTCAGTTAACTCGTTTGAATAGGTCGATGTATTTCAATAAATGGTACGAGTTGCTGGTATGTCACTGACAATATTGGGTGGATGAAATTATGATATATAATCTAAGAAGAATGGTTTTACTTTTCCCCAATGAACACTAATATAGCCTTGCTTAGGTTGGATTGGATCAATCTAATGGTAACAGGGCAGCATTGATAGTGTATAGTAGACATTGGCGTTGCTGCTATCTGATACTCGATTTTCAAGAATGAATGAAGCAGTCAATTGGTCAACGGTAAGACTCATAGTGATTTCAGTTTGTGCTTCACTACCATTGTTAGTTTGACTCAAATGAAATCGATGGACATCATCAAAGATTGATCGCTATTTCGAATATAATGATGACAAAGTCTGGTAGGCAACTTCTGGTATAGCTGCACTCATATCGAGTCTCTTTGAAAGAGAACGCGTTGTAGGCCTTCCACTGTGTTCAGCAAGCTGATCATAACGTCGAATGAATGAATTCATCGAAATCAGCATGGCATCGTGAATGATGACAAAAGCGCATGCTGTTGTTGCTGGACCGACTTGATCTAGTGTAGAAACAATGGATGTGTCATAATTATTTGCATAAGCTTGCAATACAAGGGGGTAAGTGCTGCGCCATGGCACCAAAATATGCCGAAAGGTACTGAAACAGTGCTGAGGTACTGAAATGGTGCTGAGGTCCCGAAAAGATGCTAAGATGGTGCTGAAATGCTGAGATGGTGCCTAGATACTGATAGATTTTTCAAAAGTAGCATGTAAATTAAAGTGGTATTATAGGATAGACTGATAGCGCTCTCTATTAGACACACTACTATATCAGAATTTTAGTGAACACACTAAATATCCAATCAAAAAGCTTCTCAGTTTTCGATATTTTGTAATTCAATTTTTTTCGGAGAATCAGCTTATTATTATATCACTCTCATGAGGTGAAAAAAAACAACTATATATTCTATTACGATATTAATAAGTTATTTGAATCTGTTTTGATTGTTTATTCGATCGAATAGAACATATTTTCTTTAACATACTCAGAAAGACACATTTTGAAGAACAGCTGATTAAAAGAAATTATTAATTAGAGTCAATTTCTCATATAAGTACTCCTTGGTCTCATAAGATTGACTCTCACAGGTTCAAATTGTATCAAGGATTGTAAGAATATCAGAAAAACATTCATCTCTTTAATCGCACTATGATACATTTACATTCAAAAGAGCAACATGTCTTTAGATTTATAATAATGAGAGATTAGTTGTTTTGATATTTATTGTGTATCTTCACGTATTTACTATAATAAATCTACTGATTTAAAATAAAAATTTTTTTCAATCTATTAATACCATCAGAAGTTTCTGAAGCAACAGAAAATAAAAATGATTCACCAGAAGATATTTTCAGTTACAATCATGATCGATTCTATGAATTTATCAAAGGGGGAAACAGCAGAGACTTCAGCCGTGAAGTCTCATGAAGTCTTGAAAGTCTTTCAAAGTCTTCTGAAGTCTCTTGAAGTCTTATGAAGTCTCATGAAGTCTAATAAAGTCTCATGAAGTCTTATGAAGTCTCATGAAGTCTCTTGAAGTCTAATGAAGTCTCATGAATTCTTGCGGAAGTTTCGAAATACATTTAGTGCAAGAAAATTCATAAGAAACCAATGAAATTGTCTTGTTTTCGACGGTCTTATTTTAGCAGAAAGATGAACCTTTTATTGTTCTTTTTTCAATGTGCTGGAAAAAAATTCAAGTTTGTTGGATCTTAGAAAACATGATAGTTAATAACCGAATGCTTTTTGAATGAAGTGATTTATTTTTATAAGAAATGTTCCATCTATCAAATATCGATTTTATGAAGAATTTTATTCCTTTTTGTTTGTTTCTATCACTTATGATAATCTATCAGCCGATAAACGGCTAGCTTTATCGTTCAATAACCAACAAGCCGTTTGTTTGTGTATAAATTTAGTCTTGTTATTTATTTGCACCTGAAAATAGGAGTTTTTCAATGCTGGATTAATCGAATCCAATATACGCATACCAGTAAAATTTATTTTCTCTGTTTTAATTTCATCAACGCTTTGTGTCATTGCCATATCTTTATTCTAGATATGGATATACTGCGAGAAACAACTTTCAGAAACTAGAAACACCTTTGTAATCTCTGTATGATAAGTTTTGTTTTTTGCATGTTATAGAAGTTTCATGTAATTTCTATAAGGTTTTTTGATACGCATGGAATCTGCCTCTTGAACTCTTGTGAAGTCCCTTGAAGTCCTCTGAAGTCTTTTGAAGTCTTGTGAAAATATGAAGTCACTATGGTTGAAGTCCGCTGTTTCCCCCTTGACATCAACCATTTTCTGAGCCTCACCATCGGAGGGGAACACTCCGACTCAGAACATCAAAGTACGAAGACACGTGCAGGGAAGAAGCTGTATGCTGCTTTCCGATCAGTACACCATTGTAAGAGTTTAATGTTATGACTCATGACCGAGATAAGCAGCGAGATGTAATACAAACAGAACGGAGAAAAAGATATCCCTTCGTGGGACTCGAACCACGCACCTTCTGCTTACCGGATAGACGCACTACCATTATATCACAAGGAATAACTCATCTCCATTTTTACGACCGTAGGAGAACACTACGAACGTAACAGATAAGAAATCTTGTTTTAGTTTTAACATGCATAGAAATCGATCTTAGTGATCAAGTTTCTTTACCTTTCATACGATACAAAATCGCTTTACAATATTTTTATAAGTATAATATTGATTGATTATTAATGACTGTTTTATAGGCACTAATTATGTGGATTTATTATTTTTCTCTTCTTGAAACATTTAAAACGTGGTAAGTTCAACTATTCTTCAAAGTTTTAGGTGAATATATAAAATGATCGTTCATTGCCTCTATTGCCACAAAACAGCTGTAACTGTAGCACAGTTACAATGATAAGAAATAAAAATAAAGATGAAGATATAACATTCGTCCTTACGTATAATTAAATGAATAGTTAAGAAATTTATTTTGAAAAATGAATTTTCTATCAGGATGCACATATTGGATAGGAATTTCTACGGATAAATAAGAAAAAGATATAAGTTCAAAAAGTCAATTATAACTCATTGTTCAACAGGTTCAATTCGTAAAAGAACATCTCCCGCAGCTACCAACTGACCAGTATGGCACAACACCGAACA